GATTGCTCTTAGGGTACCTTTGGAGGAAGGTGGTTGTTTGTTGGGGAGAAAGTTCCTTGTTAGGTTTCTTGTGGGTCTTTGCTTTTCTCCATTTAACTTTTCCAATTTTAGATCTTTGTTTTAAATGTTGTTTACAAGTCAGGAGCAAAAACTTTGCTTATCCCTTATTTTAGAAGCGTAGCTTACTGGCCTTTTAATGCTCACTGCTTTATTTGTATCCTGAAGCAAATGGTATTGTATGCCTCTCCCCAACACCCTTCCAATTGTACTGCTTAGGGATTTTTTTTTTTTTTTTTTTTTTTTTTTTTTTTGCTATGGTCTGAACTGGTTAAATAATCTTTGTGCTGCTTATTAGCATCACAGTTTCCTTCAGTTTGTCACTTAACATACTAGTGAAATTCCTGTCCTTGCTCAGTTAAGATCCTGTTTGTTAGTTTTTTAATCCTGACTGTTCATTATAAGTTTGATTAAGTCTTCAAAAGAATCTGAAACAGCAGTTGCTATTACCTCTGCTTTTTAATAACTTTATTTTAAATGGAGGATATACCTGAGTATATACCTGTCACTTAACACTTCATGAAGGAAAGAGAAAAATATTTCTCAGAATTATACATTCTCCTTGTTTGTACAGCAATGTTTTCTGAAGGTGGCAGGTTATGAGAAGCCCATCTGTATCTGAAGAGCTTTCTTCATGCCTTTGACGTTATTAAGCGTTTTACATTTGTTGTATGTCTAACTCGTGTTTCTAGAACCACAGACAGCCCTTTTTCCTTTAGCTGATACATATTTCATATATTTCTCTCTCTCTTGCTTTTATTATGACTTACCTACTCCTGTTTCAGGGCTGTTTGTTACTTACTTTTTTGTAACAAACATCCTATGCAAATTTTACTATATTAGTACAGGCTGCATTTGCTACATAATGTTGATCACGCTTGGAATAGGTGTTATATGAAGCTGTTTGTCTCAATATGTTTCAAACTTCTTGACCAACTTCTGTTTTAGTTCTTTCACATGTTTGTTCTTAACTGGCAATCCATACAGTTTTTGACTTCTCTGGAAAAAAAAAAGATGGAGCTCAACAAACTTCCCTCCATTCTAATTTAGTTACTGTAGTGGCCCTAAGTTAGCTAGTCTAAGAAATTAATGACCTCTTAGCTAGGTAATATATTCCAGGAGGTATTTGCAAAGCCTCAGCTGCTGTGTATAACCATAGGCTTCCAAACTGAGTTTAATCTGCATATACAAGCTACTCCAGTAGGTGTCTAGAGGAGGTCATAGAATCATGGGATGGTTTGGGTTGGAAGGGACATTTAAGACCATCTAGTCCAACTGCCCTGCCATGGGTGGGGACATCTTTAACTAGATCAGGTTGCTCAGAACCCCGTCTAACCTGACCTTGAACACTTCCAATGATGGGGCATCCACAGCTTCTCAGGGCAACCTGTCCACTGTCTCACCACCCTCATTGTAAAAGACTCCCTCCTTATGTCCTCCAAATCTACCCTTTTTTAGTTTAAAACCATTGGCCCCTGTACTGTCTCTACAGGCCTTGGTAAAGTCTTTCTTTGTCTTTTTTATAAGCCCCTTTTATATATTGAAAGGCTGCAATGAGGTCTCCCCACAGCCTTCTCTTCTCTGGGCGAAACAACCCCAACTCTCTCAGCCTTTCTTCATAGGAGAGGTGCTCCAGCCCTCGGATCATTTTTGTGGCCCTCCTCTGGACCCACTCCAACAGGTCCATGTCTTTCCTGTGCTGAGGGCCCCAGAGCTGGACGCAGTGCTCCAGGTGGGGTCTCACCAGAGCAGAGTAGAGGGGCAGAATCACCTCCCTCGACCTGCTGGCCACGCTGCTTTTGATGCAGCCCAGGATACGGTTGGCTTTCTTGGCTGCAAGCACCATGGCCACTCACATCCAACTTTTCATCCACCAGCACCCTCAAGTCCTTCTCCACAAGGCTGCTCTCAATCCCTTCATCCTGAGCCTGCACTGATACTGGGGATTGTCCCAACCCAGGTGCAGGACCTTGCATTTGGCCTTGCTGAACTTCATGAGGTTAATATGATATTGGTGATGGACCTGCCAAAACAGCCACTGATTCTTGCTTCACTGTATGTGGGGGGAGTAGAGGGTGTGTCTTTTTCTGCAAAATTGATGATCCCCTCTGAGCGCTAAAGAAGTGATTGAATTGTAAACTTCACCCATGTCGCAAATGAAAGTGTTTCTGAAAATGTTTTGTAAGACTTTATTAAAGCAACTTAAACTGTGACATCTTCATGATTTTTATCATTTGCATACCTCTATGGTAGCATATGGGATTAAAACGCCCTTGATGATTTGTAAGAGGCAGTGGGATTCCTTTCAGTCTGCAGTGTTCGTTGCAAATGCATTTTTTCAGGGTTATGCAGAACATGTTTAAACTTCTACTGGTATAAAATGCTGGGGGAGGTAAACTTGCAGCCAGGATGTTCATCCAACTAGTACTCTATTTGTCTTAGGCCAGTGTTATTTTGTATATACTTTTGAGAAGTCAGTAACTGTATGAATGTAATATTAGCCCTTTGTTTGCATTGCATTGTGTTGCTGTTGGCTTAAAAATCAGTTGAGGAAACAAATTTGTGGCCCTCTATCAAATTGGTTTTCTCCAGTGTGTGGTCTAATGCTCTCTTTAGGCTTGCTGCCCATGACTAGTCAAGAATTTGCCAGCTGGGATTGTTAGCTTAGCTTCTGTCAGGTATTTGATAGTCTGATATACCTGAAGCATCTACAATACAAGAATTCAGGAGAGCTGCGTAGTGCAGCTATTTTTAATATCCACTTGATATTAATCTGACTTTCCATAGAAGTGATGATAATTGTGTGTTTTTGGAATGTCATTCCTCCTCTAGGATGAACATGAAGATGTTCATGTGTTTGCTTAGTTTACTCTGTAATAGGACTCTGTTTTCATCATCAGATGATATTTTCACTGGATGGCCATCAGGGGTTTATAGGTTTTGGGGCTGAAGTTTGGTGAACCAGGGGACTCTTACAGGGACAGATTTGTTGTATGGATTATAGAAAGTGGCCTTCCTTTAGAGCTCGTGGCTTAGGTACAAGTTGGAGAAGTCGGGCATATATAACAAGGCAATGGGCAGACGATTCATTTCTGTAGTGATGTTTTGTACCAGGACAAAATATTCTTCCATTCCCATAGCAGGTCTTCGATAGGGCAGCACTGTTTATTGGGATAGTTCTTAGCTTTTTCTGGCTTTTTTTTTTTTGTGTGTGTGTGCAAAGTGCTCTGTGAAGTATTGATATTTTCCATTGCAAAGAGGTTAATACTGCAGACTTGACGAAACCAGCTCCTGGCATTCAAAACCAGCCCCGGTAAGGTGTTAAAAAGCAGCACTATTTTTGTTCCTAGAAATATGACTCAGTGATAGCTGAAAGGTAAGCCTTGGGCATTGATCTGATTATGAAGCGGAGTAGTTCCTACGCTGCTTCCTGCTCTGTCCTTGGTTCTCATGTGAACTTTACAGGTACAGCTTCTATGCTCTTGTCCTACCACAGGCTTGACTGGTAGGAGAATGTATGAGGGAATGATGCAAAGATATTTGTGATTAGGCTAATACAGCTGAGGTGTTCAGACACTTAAGGAATTCATGTAATTCTGAGATTCTCTCAGCAGACATCTTTGAGCTGCGGGGGATGTGGCAGTGCTGTGGGCATTTTAAACCATACTGCTGCTGAAAGGAGCACTTCTGCCCATCTTTCTCTGTCCAGTTTGTACCTGTTCCCTTTTGCCACCAAAAGTATTCATACAGCTATGCAGTGAACTGGGCTGGACATCTGATTACGAGGAAAACTAAAATAACAAACATCACCACAACCCAGGTTTAACCCACATCAGGTGAATTCATTGCAGAAATGAGGGAGAGATGCAAGGACAGGCAGGACTATCTTTGTTGACAGCAGTGATGGCTTTTATGCTCGTTTGGGATGTTTGAAACTACGGAGTTCAACTTCTGTCCTGCATCTCACTAGAAAATAGTTGTCACACCAAAAACGTAAAGCTTCTATACAGTTTGTAATTAGTTAATTCTAAGTGGCAGGATTGCACACTGTTCTCATGTTTATTTAATACCTTGGTTGAGAAGCTACTTCTGCAATCCTGCCTTTCTCTTTGGGTGGGAGAGGGATCTCTTTGTTTGTTTCCTCATATTTGGTGTTCTGGGCAAATCTTCAGTCTCCTGCAGCCTGCGTGCAGCTGATCTCTGGTCAATGTGATCCAAGAAGGAATGTATAGCACGATGTAGTACCAGGCAGAAAAGCTGATACAGGATGAGGAGTTCAGAATAAGAATGTTGTCACAAATTGTTTTACTGATAACTTGCATCTAAACGGCAACCTTTTTCTAAATTCTACAAAGCATGCATAATTGAGTATGTTTAAGTTATGAGTACAGTGGATATTTTAATGTGGGGAGGGCTCGAATACTTCAGATTGTTTCTAAAAGACAAATGGTTCTTTCTGTGTAAAGATCGTGCTGCTGCTCATTCTTTCTTAAAGCCTGCCTTAATCAATTGGATAAAACGTCATTTATAAAGGCGTATTTCAGTAAAAAGAGCCAAAGCTCCTGAATCCTAGTTGATGAGTGTGTTTAGTTACCTGGCAGTACAAAAACTTCGTAAGATATGTCTGCTATTGGACTCCTCAACTTTTACTGTGTCTGTAGTGTGAAAGCCTGTTGAGACACCTAACACGGCTTATTTTAATACTGCAAATGGGAAGGGGAAAAAAAATCCCTCAATTCATTTGAGATGTGAGATAAGCTGAGATCACAGCAGACGAGCAAACATAATTATACTCCAACTTTTTTTTTCATTCTCTGAGAAGTTAAATGATACCTCATGACTCAACACTAAATGTTATTAGTGAAGTATAGTAAAAATCTGTTACTGAGTTCAGTTCAAAACTTGCCTTTAATACTGAAGTTAAAATGTCTTCTTGCATACAGTTCTAATAATTAACTCTTCTTGTTCACAGATAACTACTCTTATTAATCATAAGGATAAACCAAAGCGTTCAGACAAGACTCTGCAAGCAATTCAGCGAGTGGGCCAAGCAGTTAACCTGGCAGTTGGAAGATTTGTTACAGTAGGTGAAGCTATAGCCAATGAAAATCATGAATTGAAAGAGGAAATGAGTGTTGCTTGCATCGAGGCAAGGAGAGCAGGTATGTAGTTGCTAATGAAATTGTGCTTGTGCCGTTTTTGGCACACTATTTTTACTGTCAGGAATAATGTAGAGCTTTATTATTTAATTGCTTAGCCCTTTTCTGCTGGTTCATTCAAGGCCTGGTTTGTTACCTGATTTTGTCACTGACTTAAATTGCTGTCATCTTATGAACAGGGAATGGAATTGTGTGTTGGCTTTGATTTTTTTATAGGATCTTTTGCCACAAGGAATTAACTGACTGCTCTTTGTTTTGTGATGTTACTACAGACAAGGAGCAGAGTGTTGAGAATACAACTTTAGAATTTATTGCTCTCAAGCTAAAACAGTGGAGTATTTAAAGTAATTTGAGTGTTATGCTATTGAGGTCACTGCGTTCTAAATCTGAATGTCTGAATGAAGGTCAGTGTCAACCCATATTTCATCAGGACTAGGTAAGATGACTCACATCAGTCATCTGATGACTCCGCTCAGTAGAATGAAAATCATATCGTACTTGCCTTTTTGCTGGATCAACTTTTGTTGCAAACTTGCTGTGTGTGTGGATTGAATGTGAAGTATGGATAATTGGTTGAGTTGCCTGCTGTCACCCTCCTCCCCCCAGAAGCCTCTGTCTAGGTGAATAGTGGGTTACATTCTCTGATACTGTAAGAGAATGTCACTGTCGTGCTAGAAACTACTTCCCTAGATATTAAGTACTATTCCTTGCATGATATTTCAGTGGCTCTTAGTAAATGCATATTTTTACATCTGCAGTGCAGCCTTCAAGAAGATTCCATCTAGAAGAACGTTCCTTTTGTTGTTAGTGGTGGTGGGTTTTTGTTTCTTCTTTCAAATACCTTTGGATCATGGAAAATTCTACTTGAAGCTTTTCCTATTTAAGCAGGTGGAAGTACCTACAGGTGTGACAGACTTTCTGTGGCTTCAGGGAGATGATCTTGAGCTTCCGGATGTGGAGGCAAATAAATGACCCTTCAACAGTAAGGTCTCGATGACTGCAGAAGGGAGTAGTACTCTACTCCAAGACATGGGTTACTGTACTTAAAATTGACTTGTTAAGCTAAATGGTGGATGTGCGGGTGGGTGTTTGTTTTTTATCTTTTAAATAACCTCAGAAGCCTGAGAAACTTGCCTTTTGCTGTCCTAGCTGGTGTATTTCTTGCTGAATCACTGTGCAGGCCTCGAACTTTGGGGATGCAGTTCATACTATTTTTGTGATTAAAAAAAACAAGTGTAGAAGTTGGGCATGGTACTGTTAAGAAATCCTCTGAAAATCCCTAAGGAATGAGTTGCAATGTCTAGAAACACGCTGGTGATGAATGATTGTTTTTGTGAGTTGAAGGACTATTCTAGATAAACTTCAGACTGAAAATTCATAGTCGCTCCAGTAAACTTGGCTGCAAACAGAAATGTCCTGATTTGAAAACATTCCATTTGCTATGTGAAGCATGTGTTTTCTCTTCAGAGATCCAAGTAAAATGCTGACAAGCCAAAATTGCCAAAGTTTATGTCGATAATCTCAGCTGCTAGAAGAGCAGTGCCGTCTGGATCTCTATTCCTTGGCTTGCCAGTTATGCTGTGGCCAAGTGCTTTTTCTCCCTATCAGTGTATCCAGGAGGAGCTCAGAATCTAAAAATAGTCTGCAGTATTTTCTCTCACCAAATGGTTATACTTCTTTACATTGTAAGTTTTATTTCCTGTTACGCAGTAATGTGCCTCAGTCTAGAGGAGTGAGGATCTAGACTGCTTACTTTTCTGTCAGGCCTCACGTTTACCTTGGCATGGGTCAGTTACTCTCTCTGAGCTACCCATTTGAGATCTAATTGAAGACTTACATGGGAAATTCAGTATATCAAACATGTTTGCTGCTGGTTTTTTGTTTGGTGGTTTTTTTGTGGCAGTGTTATCTCTCTGAATTGTTAAGTGTTGGACAAGGTAAGACAGTCCTTTGTGCAGATAAATTCTTATGGATAACTGTTCTCTAAATTCAGTCTCGGAACACAGTTGCTCAAGTTCCATTTTGAACAACTTTGGTGTTCCCAAGCAAGCCAATAAAATCTCCTGGCCAGTTATAGCCAGGAATATTGACTTGTATAAAAGAATCCCGTGTTCTGATGGCATGGGCAGCAGAAAGCCCTTGCTGTTTAGGACAGAGGAAGTTGTAGAGCCATTCATACTTCTTTTCAGATGATAAATTAGATTGTGCCTCAAAAATTAAAGGGACACTTTGTTAGGCGTAGAAGATAGATTTCAACATTAAATGATTTAGAACATTAAGCGTCTCAGTTGCTAAGAAAAGTAGGGAGTCTAAATCAATTGCATATCCTGCAGAGACTTTGAAGGATGACAGATGTTGTATCTGTCTCTTGTGAAGGGTATAATCAGTGATATGAAGTGTTTCAGACTTGTTATGACTATTTCCTTGTAATAAACCTTGTAATTTGATTGACTCAGAATCGTAAAACACTGCAGAGGGTCATGTAGCAGATTTTGCCTAACATTAGTCTTGCACTGTGTCAGTGTTTACAGTGACAGTATAGTAGTGGAATGTAACTCAGAAGCACATTTTTAGATGCCCATCTGTGATCTTTTTTTTTTTTTTTTCTCTTTCCTCCACAACTAGGAAAGACTGGTTAATTTAAAAGAGAAAACACATGTCAAGAATGAGTTAGTGTCATAACATTTTCAACATTCTCTGCCAGTTGACTACATAGCCCTAAAGAAAGACATGGAGTAAAATGGAAGCAATAAATAGCTCTCTCCTGTTTTTGCCTTGTTTTTTAGTACAGAGAAGGACTACATTAAGAAGGTTGAAAACCAACAATTTAAAATGGATAAATAGAATCACAGAATAACTTAGGTTGGAAGGGACATTTAAGAATGGAGACCGTACAACTTCTTGTACACCTCTTACAGTGTTTGACTACCCTTACAGTGCCAAAAGTATTTTCTTATATGTTGTCCACTGCTTTTTGTCCTACCAAAATGCACCTCTGGGAGCAGTCTGTCTCTGTCTTCTCCATACCTGCCCATTAGGTAGGTAGTTGTAGACTGCAGTAAACTCTGCCATTGGCCTTCTCTTCTTGAGATGGAACAAACCCACTTCCTTCAACCTCTCCTCGTATGTCACATGCTCCACTATGTCAGTGTTTTCCCTTGTACTGGGGAGCCCAGAGCTGGACATGATACTCCAGATGCTGTCTCGCAAGTGCCAACCAGAAGGGAAGAATCATTTCTGCAGCGTGCTGGTTACACTCCTGCTAATAACCCAGCGTGCAGCTGGCCATCATTGCTGACTCCCATTCAACTCTTTGTCCACCAGGACCCCCATGCCTTTCCTTGCAAAGGTTTTCTCTAGGCAGCTGATCCCAGCCTGTACTGTTGTGTGGTGTTATCCCGACCCAGATGCAGGACTTGGTATTATCGCCTTTGTTGGACTTCACAAACTTTGTGTCAGACCATCTTTCCGGCCTGTCCCTCTGTCCTGGTTTCGGCTGGGATAGAGTTAATTTTCTTCCTAGTAGCAGGCATAGTGCTGTGTTTTGGATTTAGTAGGAGAAGAATGTTGATAACACACTGATAGTTTAGTTGTTGCTAAGTACTGCTTATGCTAGTCAAGGACTTTGCAGCTTCCCATGCTCTGCCAGGTACACAAGAAGCTGGGAGGGGGCACAGCCAGAACAGTTGATGCAAACTGACCAAAGGGCTATTCCATACCATATGACGTCATGCTCAGTATATAAACTGTGGGGGGTTGGCCAGGGAGCAGCGATCGCTGCTTGGGAACTGCCTGGGTATCGGTTGGCGGGTGGTGAGCAATTGCATTGTGCATCACTTGCTTTGTGTATTATTATTACTATTATCATGATTATATTATTGTTATTATCATTACTATTTTACTTTATTTCAATTATTAAACTGTTCTTATCTCAACCCAGGAGTGTTTTTTTCACTCTTACTCCTCCGATTCTCTCCCGAATCCCATCAGGGTAGGGGGAGTGAGCGAGCGGCTGCGTGGTGCTTAGTTGCTGGCTGGGGCTAAACCATGACACCCTCTGTCTAGCAGCCCTGTCCTCCAGTACACCGGACACTCCCCCAGTTTGGTATTGTTCACACACTTGCTGAATGTGCTGGCCCATCATGCAAGGAATGGTTCTGATGCCTTGTATCAGTCCCTGAGGACACCACTGGTAATGGACTACCCGTTGGACTTTGTGCCACTTAGCACCATCCCTGAGCCCAGCAGTCAGGTCCATTTTCTAACCACCTTATTGTTCACTTGTCCAGTCCATATCATGATTTAGTTATAAGGACACTATGGGAGATCATGTGGAGGCCTTGCTAAAGTTGAGATACACAGCATCCATTACTTCCTTTTCCAGAGGTGGTGTCATCTCGTCATAGAAGGCATTCAGGTCAATAAGGGACTCTGCACCTTTGCAGGTCTGTGCTGGCTCTTCCCAATTGGCTTTTTCTGCTTCATGTGGTAATGGCTTCCAAGATGATTTTAATAATATTCCTGGAGACTGACATGAGGCTGACGAGCCCATAATTGCCTGATTTTTTTCTTGTTACCCTTCTTGAAGATCGGTGTGACAGTTGCCTTTCTGTCATTGGAAATCTGTCCCAATTCTTACAGTCTTTCAGACATGATAGCAGAATTACAGTGACACTGAACCCATCCTTTGACACTCTCAGATGTGTCCCATGGACTTGTGTGTGCCCAGCTGGCTTAAGTGGTTCCTAGCTCAGTCTTTTTACCCTAACAGGTCTTGCTCCTGATAGCTTACTACCAGGGTACCATTCCTGTTCCTGTAGTTGCAGATCTGCAAGCAGAGAAGGAAGCCTTTGTTCTGTTGTCAGAAGTCTCAAGTTTTTGTAGGGCTGTCTGGAGCTTTTGACAGGCAGGTGTTGCAGCTCTTTCTACATTTTCTGATTACTCTTTGTATGACTAGATGCTTTACCTATGACTTGATAATTCATCTTCAAGAAGGTGAATCCCACAGCATAAGAAATGGGATAATGATGTTATGTGTCCTTCTTTGGTTACCAAAAGCACTTTACGTCTATTTTAATTGTTCTCTGTGTGTTTCTACAGCATTTTATGTTGTCGCATATATTTTGAGGTCAAAGGAAGAGAATGGGGTTAATATGCTGGCAAAGTTGAACAGTTGCAGCTAGAGATTGGCTTCAACTGAAATGAATTTAACTGTGGAGAAGGCAATGGCCAATCTGTTTTGCTGTTAAATGACCTCCTCACCTGACTGGAGATTTGTCCTACAGCTTTACTGTTAGTGTATCTGACTGCCCTCACTGTTTGGATAACAGGTGTACTTTTATAATTCTTTTTGCTTCTATTAATTTTGAGGCCCTTCAGCTGTGGAACTCACCATCTCAGAGTGTACTCTGTTTATCATATTTGCATACTCATACAAGAGAGACCCTCTGATTGTTTTAGCATGGCTTTTATGACCTGGCCTGGTCCTAGCAAAAGTACTGGAAGTTTCTTGCCATAGTGCAATACCTATTAGGCAATTTAGGAGCTCAAGGGATTACAGTTGTTAGAGGAGAGAAATCTATACATAAACACTATGAAGCGTAGAACTCTGTGAAGGACTGTCAGGTCTTCCTTGTTCCATAGCGTTTGTGTGTGGTATTTCCAGAGTAATAATGCACCCTCACGTTCTTCATAAGGCAACTGTCCTGGTTTCAGATAGAGTTAATTTTCTTCCTAGTTGCTGGCTGGGGTTAAACCACGACAGTCCTCTCTGGCTTTATCAGGCTTTTGGAGTATCTTGTCTGCTTAGGTGGATTACCTTAGTTGAGGTTTTGAAGATGAGTCATAGAGGGCTCAATCAAATGGCCTAGATTTTATCTTTAAGGATGATCTGCAGGTTAGTTGTGCATTGATCATTTTGTCTTGCATGCTAACAAAAAGCATGTCTCAGAGCTTGCCTGAGTTCAGTCTCCTAGCAGTCCTTCTGTGGCTGTGGAATAGGAAACTGCTCTATGCCTCTCCTCTATTGTGTTATCTAGGGTACTCCAGAAGATTTAATTGGGTGGGGGACTGTGATTTTTCTCAGACAAGGAGATCCATAGGCTGCATTGGATTGTAGAATTTTTAACTGCATAAAAAATAAAAGTGGTCAAATAGTCCTATTTAACTATTACCATATTAAATGCTAGTTGAATAAAAAGATGCTTATGAACTGAAAATCAGTGCTGCTTTGCCTTTTTTTCCTCTCCTGTTTCTGACAATATACTGTTTGGTGGCCCTCCTTTGAACATAAAGTGCAGCAGTCTCAGTATAATGCTTCAGTCCTGTAAGTTACAGAGTTACTGTTTGGAATCTCTTATTCTTCATGCCTGAAGTCTTCTACAGGAATAGAAAATCCATAAATTATGGGACTACTAACTGAAATTTGGAAAGTGGAGGGGAATTTGTAGTTCTTCCTTCCTTGCTGCATCCCACTCCTTCAGTGGGTTGATGCTGCAAGTGTCGACACTGATTTGACTTTTCCTATTAAAATTGGAAAAAATATCTCCCATGAATGTTTTCTCCCTCCACCGTCCCCAGCTCCACCCCCTCCACCTCAAATATCTGTAGACTACTGTAAGAAAATTAGTGTATGTTACAGATGGAAGAACGAGTCAGTACGGAATAATAGTCCAAACTTAAATATGGAGAGGGTGCCACCAACAGTCAATAGAAGGAAGTGAAGTGAAGTGAAAAAAGAGAGTTGTAGGTAGCTCTGAAATGTTGTTTTATCCGTCAGAGGTAAAAGTTAAGAATGCTTAATGCCCAGTATCTTTTTTGTAAGTATGAAATGTTAATTATTTCTTTTTCTGTCTAGGTGAAACAATCGCACAGCTTACGAATGTGGCAAGCTTGGATCATCCAGAATCTGATAGCCATATAACAGTCTTTACGGACAAAACGAGTGTGGTGAAAGCTGCAAGGTTGTTGCTTTCTTCTGTCACGAAGGTGCTGGTGTTAGCAGACAGAATTGTTATTAAGCAAATTATAACTTCCAGAAACAAGGTATTTGTTTTTTGTTTTGTTTAACTGATACCTGCAGTCAATGCAAAAGAGTGGTGGTAACTGAAGTGGTATTTTCATTGTATCTCTACGGGAAGTGCAAAATAGAGAGGTAAAAATGAATGTATTGCACATGTTCACCTACCAGATATCTGAAAGGGGATGGCTGTAAGTCAGGAGGAATAAAATCGCAATTTTCAGTAACTTCCTACATTTTATGTGACCTGTATTGCTCTATTGAGTTAGTATGCTGGAGAGGACGCTGTGTTACTGGTTATTTAACTTCAAGTTTGCTGTGAGGTGGAAAGTGTGTCTGTCAATAAAATGGCCAATAAAAGCTTCTACTTGTTAAGGACAGGATGTTTGTACTGTCAGGATCAAGACAAAGAGAGCATTGTGAATGTGTCTAAGGCAAAAAGCTGTGAGGAATGCTGATAAAAGTCTGTGCTAGTGCAGTGAGATGTACAGATTAAAAGTTTTTTGTGCAGTTTAACTTAGGTCTTGGAACTTAGCTTGAAACTACTTAGTTCATTTAAATAATGTATGAAGGCCCATTTAACCTCAAATGTAATCTTTCATGTACTGCACTGTCTTGCCTGCAGGATATACTTTCTCTTTTTTCCTCCCCTGATGTGCTAAAACAAAAATAGCAGAACCTCATGTTTGAAAAATGAGAACCTGATAGGGCCTGGGTTTTTCCATTAATTTTCAACTTGTAATCTGGAGCAGAGCCCCTTTCCTCTTTTGACTCCTCATGCTATCTCTCTTCCTTTGTCCCAGCTTACTTTCCAGACATGCTTGTCTCTATTTTGCAGCTTCTAGATCCAAGACCCCTAGCTGAGTCCGAGATTAAAAAACTATGGTAATACCTGCTTCAGTCTGGCTTTAGACTTAGCGGCACTGATTTGCTGTCTTAGTGCTCTTTTCTTCTCCCAGTGGTTGGTGAAGGTGGCAGCAGTTTTATCAGTATTAATTTGCTGAAGTTACTTGCAGCTTTGGTCTTTTCTTGCACTGGAGACCAGAGTGGTGCATTTAATAACTTTTGCTGCCTTTCATGAGCTTTTCTTCTGCTGTCATCTGCAGCCATGCAGTGATCTGAATTAATTTAACTTTTGAAAGTGGCTGTTGTTAACACAGATTTTAGGCTACACAGCAACTGTGCAAGTGCTTGTATCATGAAGGGATAAGGAGGGATATATTCTGTCAGAAGCAGGGTATGCTTTATGATAGTCTTAAATATATATGAAACTATTGTCATATATACAGTAATACGAATATAGTAAGCATTGGTGTGAGATTTAATTTTGAAGGTATTTAAAACAAAGTCATATTCTAGAGTAAGTGTGTCTGATTCTGATTGCCATAGGCACCCTAGTCTTTGTGGTCTTTTGGGTTTTACTGCATTCTCCTTTCTGTGCATAGTCTACGTGTGTTTGAGAATGTCTGTTTGTGGTACCGGTAGAGCAATTCACATCTCTAGGGCTAAACTAAACAAATGATGGTGTCTTATACAGGGATACCCTGATATTTATAGACTACACTGCTGAAAAGTGTGTCCGACACTGGTATGATGGATAGCAAAGCAGTTCTTACTGTAAGAAATATTGTGGTAGAGAGATGATGTGGGCAGGGACTTAAGAAGTGTGCACAAATACTCAGAGACAGTGTAGTGTAATATGGCATAGAGGATGGAAAGGCAGGAACAGGATCATCAGAACTGCCAACTGGAGCAGATGCTGGCCTCTTGGAGTGGGTCACTGTTCCAGATGATCTCAGCTGCATTTTCATCTTAGAGGCTGAATGCCCAATGTTAAACTTTTAATGCCAGTTTTCTTGCTGCCTCTTTCTGAATGCCTTCAATTTCATTGTCATCATCATCTTCTTTGTATGAATCAAGAGCAGTTAAGTCAACCAACGGCAAAGGACAGGAAAACAGCTTAGTGGTTGGACATCCAATCTCGTAGACTGATGAAGTGATTGAGATCTTCTGGAACGGTGATCTGTTCCAGAACCCACCCTCTGGTTGATGATCCCAGTGATCCCGTTCCTGCTTCTGCATCCTCTGCACCATATATACCATCCCTGTGTTCTTAGACTGTGTGCATTTCTTGAGTCCCTGCCCACATCTTTCCTACCTCACAAAATTTGTTTCACTGTCCATCAGACTTAGTCACTGCATCAGCGAGCTTAAAGTCTTGCTCTGTTTACTGTCATCAGCCCGGTTAGGAGTGCCAGAACAATGAACAGGGAAGTGACAGATAGTGGGGATGTTGCTGCACTATGTGGATTGGATCAAAATATGGATGTGCCCTGAAGTGATGTCAGCCTACGACCGCTATCTGAAAGGCGACATTCATAGTGCAGCAGTAGCTGTGTAATATTAAGTTCTAATTTAGATATTAATAGGAACTTAAAGCCTTTTTTGATACATATTTTTAACCTTTTATTTTAAAATGTACATTTTAATTGCTATCTGTATGTTTCATGTTGAAGAAAGTTTAAAGTGAAAAATTATGAAGACTTCACAGGTATTTTGCATTCTAACAGCTTCAGAATAAGCTTTAGACAAATTTAGAGCTGTCTATACGGTTTCTCCCTGTATGTAGTTTCTTGGAATGTCAGCTCTGCCTGGAATGTCTAGAATTGTTACCTGTAATAGAAACACATGTGCTTTCACTGAAATTTTTATTTGACAAGAGATTTGTCATGACAGAAACACTTGCTCTAGGGTAACTAACAGAGTTGCTTGCAACCAAGACCATACTCGTGAAGTACTATACTTGCTTAAACCAAGAATGATTGAGCATAATTACTATGATTTTTTTTTATCCATTCTTAGAAGAGAAAGTTGGACCTTAACTTGAATGTTTTCTCCTTTCTCCACACTCACTTTTCTACATCCTCACTTTCCCAGTCCTGTGGTTCTCTGCTGCTTCCACTCTCATACTGCTATTTTCACATCTTCATCTTTGTGCAGCTTCCTTCCAAGTCCTTTATACCCCAGCCTTGGTCATGCATCAACACCTGAATCACGAGAGTTCCTGTTTCTGCAGCCTTTGTGGAACTGGATGCATAGCATAAGATACTTAGACAGATACTGCAGTCTAATATTGCATGATAAAGCAGTGCTCACAGGATTTAGTGGAACATTTGCTTTACATAGATTACAACTATGAGATTGAGCAGCTGCTCTATAGAAAAGAATGGATGCTTCTAGAAGGATTTGCCTGGGCTGCAGGGAAGGGGTAGTTTATCGTAATCAGGTATGTAGATTGCTTTTTTAGTTTTGGGGAGGGGGAAGATACTTTTGGCGTAGGAAAGGAAGAATAAGTTGAAGTTTCTCCCTTTCAAGTACAGTGTGTTAAATTTTCATGTGGTATCTTATCTCCAGTCTGAAACACAATAAAGAACTGCTTTGACTGTCTTCCCTTCTGAAGACGTTTAGTGGATTTGAGAGATCACTTTGGGATTAGCAACTCTACCTCTAACCTGAAAAACCCTAACGTTAGTCTAGTTTATAAACCATTGTAGTGACTTCAGCATGATCGCTTCAGTAATTTATAAGCTATATGATAATTTTTGCTGAATGTTTTAAAAAATGCTGATTTTGCATGCTTTTATGTGTCTTGAGTAAGAGCTTGATAGAACTTGGGTTCATTTAGTTCTTTGTTTTGTATAGAGCTAATACAAATCTTCAGAGTTATAGTAAGTTATTAAGGAAAGTATAAAACACTATATTAACTAATTTCTAACTTTTTCGTTTTCTTTTGTGGAATGCCATTGCTGCTTTCTTTTTTTTTTTTTTTTTTTTTTAAATGCACACAGCCATTAAAACACTTGTCTGTCTGACTGTGCAACTGTGGTTGTAGACCTTGAAAGTTATGCATCTGAAATTGAACTTTGAAATTGAGAGTTACAACACAGGGATGTAATCTTTATATTATTTTTAAGTACTTAGGTTTCTATATTTAGTATGACAGTAACATTTTTCCTAAATCTGGAAACTGAATCCTGTAGTACTGTTACTCTTGATACTGGGAAGAGTGAGGAGAATGTTTTTGAGGGTTGACAACAAATGACTCATTTGAATGAAGCATGGTTATTAATTTAGACTTGATTTCTAGCTGTTGAGTTATTAATGCTTAGTGACAAAATATGTACATTTTAAACAACATGATTTAGAAGTGTCTGCAAATACTAATATTCCTAGTTTAATAATAATGTTTTCTGTTTAGCATCTTGATAATCTACAGTATTTTACCTTATCTTGCAGGTTCTTGCAACAATGGAACAACTAGAAAAAGTCAGTAGTTTCCAGGAGTTTGTACAAATATTCAGCCAGTTTGGAAATGAAATGGTAGAGTTTGCCCATTTAACTGGAGATCGGCAAAATGTAAGTATTAATAAAAAGCTGTGAGAGATGTTGTAAGGTATCATTTTCATCTGATTCACTGGAAGATTTGGGTTCTTCTGGGGTGATTAACTATTACAAAACAAAATTGCTGGTGTCCTACCTCTGAAACCTAACCTTTTCTCCTTGCTCTATCCAAAGGACATCTTTTGATTTTAAAGCTCAGCCTGAGAAATAACACTGTGTTGTTTGATGTGCGTATATTCCAGAAGCCTGGGTGCATGTTATTTGAGATGTCCTTTGGCTTCAATCACTGTCTCTTGGCTCTAACTTTTCTGGCTTATTACTCTGGTAGAGAATTTGTCTGTTGTTGCTTGACAGAAACATTTCATGTCTGCACATAGTGAACGGATTTGAAAGCAGAGTAATTATTTTAGAAAACTCCAAACATGATATCTTTACATCCTAATAAAGCAAATGCTTGTTTGGTTTTTTTTATTATTATTATTACTGAATATTTTTTTAGGTTTAGGTCAAAACCTTCTTATGTTGGGGTAATGGTTTTTTACTTCTCACATGCAGCTACTCTTTCAAAGCCTTTCATTCATGCAGGAGGCTTTTTGTTCCTACTTCCGTGTAAATAAAAGGTTTGCTGAGGCTTAAGACTACTTCTGTGTGCTCTAGGTACTTCCCCTTGGCAATCAAATCCTCCATTCAGAACTGAAGCAGGGTGCCCCTCTGATATACAAAGTCCCTAATATCCAGCAAAATTCAGGATTCAATTTGTATAAACAATTAGCCAACCTCATGCATCTCCTTTTACTGTTGATGTGTACCGAGTCTGCTGAGTACATGCTCAGTATCAAAGAATCAGTTCTGGAAAAGCTACACATAATGAAAGGAAATATCTGCTTGGAAATGAACTCTCTTTATTTTTCCCATAAACATTCATAGCAGTTGTTCCTTGGAAAGAGAAAGGTGTGTTACTAGTAAGGGATATTCTTTTCAACTATTTTTGGGTTTCAGTGTTAACTGGTCTTTGGCTCTCCCCTCCTTGCCTACTTGACTCT